CTTGAGGACAAATAACATTTTGACTCTAATTGTCAGAGCCTGGAGCTGATTATGTCACACACGCACTTGTGTGCTCTGGCTAGCTTGAATTGGCAGATGACAGCCCATTGCTAAATATTCAACAATTTCACAAACCCCAACTGTTGTAGCTTTCAAACCGCCACGATGGAAGTATTTATATCACCATAATTGGTGGACCCTATGAATGAAGAGTTTTTAGTTTTCTTTGTTTCTTTGGAAAGCCAATTTATCAATATTCCACTAGCTAGATCCCAGTGAAGACAGCAGTGACAGGAATTGAGATAATATTCTATCTTTCTTAAAAATGAGAAATACAAACTAATCAGTTTTGATGTTGGTATAATATGTAGAAGGGAAGGGAAAAAACAAATCATTTAAATAAGGATACAGGTGGACCCATTGCAACAATGAGATGTACAAGTTAGAACTATACAATTTTGGCAGGGGGGAGATGGGAAGGGGAAAACAAAGTAGGAGGCAACAATGACTGATAAGAAATGTACTCATTATCTTGCCCATGTAATTGTAACCCCTCTGTATGGTATTTTCACAATAAAAACAAACAAACAAACAAACAAACAAAAAAAGTAAATAAGCCCAATGACCTGGCACCAATGGTTCATACTTGAGACTGAGATCTGAGGATCACAGTTCAAAATGAGCCAGGGCAGGGAAATCCATGGGACTCATCTCCAATGAACCAGCAAAAAGCAGGAAGTGGAGCTGTGGTTTAAGCAGTAGAGCAATAGTTTTGAGCAAACAAGCTCAGGGATAGTGTCCAGGCTCTGAGTTCAAGCTCCAGGACCAGCACATAACTAACTAACTAACTAAATAAATAAATAAATAAATAATATGCTCATGAAAATATAGCCCTCTTGTTAATTAACTATGATTCCTTACCCTACTAAAATTTCTCCAAGATTTTTATTTCATATTCAATCCAGTGACATGTATGCAAAGACTCTCCTACTTCTTGGCATTGGGGTTGGGGGACAGGATGACTTTTGCTAAGCCCAGAAATATACTGTCAGTTATCAAAAAAATGGGGAAGGGAAAAAATAAATCATTTAAATAGGGATACAGGTGGATCCATTGCAACAATGAGATGTACAAGTCGTTGTATCTAAAACTAACTTTACAACTTTGGTGGGGGGGGAGGATTATTGGGGGGGTAGGGGGAGAATGGGAAGGGATGGGAAGGGGAAACAAAGGAGGAGGCTACAATGCTTGATAAGAAATGTACTCATTATCTTGCCCATGTAATTGTAACCCCTCTGTACAGTATTTTCACAATAAAAATAAAAATAAAAATTTTTAAAAAATGGGGAAGACTAGGGGAAATAAACTATTAGGAGTAACCACATAAAAGAGGAGGTTTTTTTTTCAAATATTTAAATATAGGTCACAGATTCTGCAGTGATGCTCACTGAAATGTTAATTCAATTCAATTCAACTTGATAAACATTTACAAACAATAAGTGTTTGTTGGATTGGATTAAAATGTTAACATTTATCCTCCAGTGATATTTCTTTCCAAAAGTCAGAAATTATCCTTAGACTATAAACTAAAGTCTACTCTGAGATGAATGTTAACTTCATAATAAATATAATCATTAAATATTTATACTTAACCTTATTGCAAGACACCTGTCATTGAATTCCTTAGCAGCTTAGGCAAAATAATGCACTATTCTGACACATTTAAATAGCACAAGAATATATAAAGTAGGGAAGAGAGCATGCTGCATTTTTATTTTAATTTAATGGACAAATATGAATATTTATGGTAGATAGTCTCTTTCTTTCAGTGCTGGGTAGTTATGTCCTGCTTCTAATAGAAGCATGTCAACTTCCTTCTAGAAAGTCCCATTCTCTCCTAGCTTCTACATATTCTCTACAGGATGAGGGAGGCACTCTCCCAGACTCAAGCCAGACCACATGGCTCAGTATGACCTCATGTTCTCTGGAAACTGTGATGGATTCAGAGACAGACCTTTCCCTTCTTCACAAATAATTAAACATTCCTTGGGATTGTTGGAAAAAGAGGAAGATGCTCTCATTTTGACCTTGAATCTCGAAGAATACAGATCTGTCTCCTTGATGACCACCCTCCCATATGAAAATAGGAACCTAACAAGAAAAAGCATGGCTGAAAGACAGAGATTTAGGCCTGATGATATCTATTAAGCCTTTGACCTTTGAAAAAAATCAAATTAAATGAAGTAAGCCAGACCCAAAGAATCATAGCTCCTATGGTTTCCCTCATTTTTAATAATTAGTATATGTCTAGGATAGTCCTAGCAGATGAAGAACATAGCTCAATAGCTATGTACATATGGCCATACAAGATGATGCTAAGCCAAATGAACTTCAAGACATGCACACAAGAGGTTTTTCTTTGTTGTTGTCAGTCATGTACTATTTCTTTCTTCTTCTGTGTTTTTTTTTTCCCCTATGGCTTATTCCCTGTTGATTTTGGTGCTCTGGGTATATATGTGTTTATCTGAATTAGGGGAGGGAAGGGGAACAACAAAATGGTGAGACAAAGGAAAAAGGTGAACCAGTGTAACAAGATAATATAATAGAAATGAACTTTACAACTTGGAGTGGGGGGAGATTGGGGAAAGGGAAAGTGGAAGAAAAATGAGGGAGGGGTAACAACTTTGACCAGAAATGCACTCACTGTCTTATGTATGTAACTGTAACCACTGTGTATATCATGTTGACAATAAAATTCAATATAAAAAGCCTTTAATCAAGCCATTACAAAAACCAACCCTACACTATCTTGTAAGTAACACAAGTTTCATTTTCTTTGTTTATAATAACTGGAAAAAGGTTTCTGTCATCCCTGATATAACACCAAGATTTCTAACTTTTAAAAGCCTCTGAAAGTGCTGAAGCCATCCTTTTAAGTGTCCTCACATCTAAGCCCTTGGCAATACAGTCACAGTTCACCTGACAAAAGGCAGAGAAAAGGTGCTTCCTGATTCTGGCAATTGGGATTAGCCGTAAGATTTGCTAGGGCCAATGAAATGTCGGAGATAATACAATTAGGTATCACAAGTAGGACTTCCTGGACTTCTACCATGGCTGTCACAAGAGCACTCCCCAGTCAGTCTTCTGGTACAATGAGTGGAAAGAAGTACAGAGTGAAGACTGCATCTCTTGCCACCAGAGTGGAAGGTCACACAGGCCTAGGGAATAAATGGTGGGTGTTCTGAGACATGGATCCAGACAGTTTGTTCCACACAACACCCCTTCCACTCCTAGAATAGGAAGAGGAAATGAAAAGTGTATTCTTAGGATTTTGTGAGTGACAAGTAAACAGCCATTGAAGGGGTTGAGACCACACAATCTAGAGATCTAATCCTCTGAGGTTCCTGGTGGCCAGTAGGTAACCAACAGCAACTCATATGAAATGCAGCACATGCCAGGCAGGGCTCCAAGTTTAGTTTCCACCATAACTAGTTGAAACAGTTATAATTATTGAATTATTGCTGTTTTATTGGGACAAAACTAAGGAGCAGAGAGGTGAAGAAATTTGCTCAAGTTACACAGTTTGTAAATAAGATAGCTAGGTTTGCATTAGACTTTTTTTCTATTACTTTACTATACCAAATATGCCAGATTAAAACATACACACACACACACACACACACACACACACACACACACACACACACACACACACACACTCACAGAGGTAATAGGGAATGTAGTTCTCCATAGATTCAATAACATCATGTTCAGCTGGTAGCTCCTTCAGCTTCTAGGAGAGAGGCCAAAAATCTAGATTCCTTCAAGTCATGAGAGAGAGACAGAGAGACAGACAGACAGACGGACAGACAGACAGAGACAGAGACAAAAAGAGACAGAGACAAAGAGAGACAGAGAAAGAGAGACAGAGAGAGAGAGAGAGAGAGCCCTCTTGGGTTTTGAACTCAAGGCCTTGATGCTTTCCTGTAGCTTTTTTACTCTAGGTAGGCACTCTTTCTTTTGAGCCAACACTGTACATCTAGCTTCTTGCTGGTTAACCAGGGACCACAATTTCATTGACTTTTCTGCATGAGCTGGCTTTGAGCCTCAACCCTCAGATCTCAGCCTCCTGAGTAGCTAGGATTACTGGTATAAGACACCGGTGCCCATTCTCCTACAATTCTTTTGAGAGAAATAAAAAAATCTTTGATTTGAAGAAAATCTGTTTTTAAGGATTTTCAACATTGAAAGCCTTTTTAACACCATGAGGTTCAGCCCTATGAGCAGTGCATGCTCAATAAAGCACATGACCAGATTTGATTGTCCAGTCCATTAGCACCCACCAATCTAAGTGTAATAACTCAGTCATGTTCAGGTAGCAGGTGGCTGCCACCAGCATCTTGAGAGCCTTCCTAATGTCCTTGAAAGGTAGAAAAAAGCTTTGTTTCTAATGATGCAAAGAGCATCCAAACATGACACTTCCATCTTGCCTTTTCCTGTGTGCCTACGTTCTCACAAGCCATACTTGCAAGTCCTTACAATGACACCAGTCCTAAGTCCCTTAGACACAGACACCAGGGCCTGCTGCTACTTCTGCTCATACCACTCTTCCTTCCTTTTCACTATGGCTCAGTTGAGTGTTATCCTCCAAGAAGCCTCTAAAGTGGCCCTTAATGACACACTGGGAAGCCTTCCAGAATGTTCCTGGAACAGCACAAATTCCTTTTATCCAAAGGGAGTTACCTATACTTCACCTGATCTTGTTGTGTGCCTCAGTGGATCTGTAGAGCTGGTGGTAGGGCTGCTCTGTTTACAGTTTGTAACACATAGTAGGTGCTAAGAAGACATTTATTACATGAAAATACTTATTACAATAAGCATGAACAAAACTTACCAATGATATTTTTCTTTGGTGTTTAGCGCACACGTGCACACAGACACAGACACAGACACAGACACACAGACACACACACACACACACACACACATCATGAAAGTACCTAGATAAAGCAAGGGCTCGATTCACCCTCTCTTCAAGGCCTAAAGTGCCCACTGCTTTCCAGGTCATCCAGAACTTGAATGCATCAGGTTTCCTGCTGCATTGGATGGATTTATCCCCCGTGTCATAGCTTACATCGTAGAACTTATCCTGTTGGAATAGGTAGGATGCTTCAGCAGAGTAGCACTTCTTAAGGAGACCCTTTGAAAGAGAAAGAAAGATTTTACAATCATTCATGTCTAAGATATACTTGATGCTTAAAACACAGGAACGAAACTTGTATGACAATCATTATTTATGGAAAAGCACATTTCACTTGACTGCTTTATGATGGTTTTCTGTCAGGCACAGATTGCTCAGTATGTTTAAAACAAAACCTAAGACTTGATAGTGGTAGAACCCAACTTCACAATTTCACAGCCAATAAAGAGAAGCAGAAATGACAATGTCTTTGTGAGATCCAGGCAGGCCAGTTTCTTAGGAGAACTAAATCTGTCTGTAAATCACCCAAGGTTCTGCTAGGAGAGAGAGAGAGAAGAGAGACAGAGACAGAGACAGAGAGACAGAGACAGAGACAGAGAGACAGAGAGAGAGACAGACAGACAGAGAGACAGACAGAGAGACACAGAGAGAAACCTTGACATATTGTGCATATTTGATACAATTTCATAGGCACAGACAATCCAGGCTTCTAAATGCCCTTTTCTTAAGCCATTCCACAATGTAAGACCAGATGTGACAATACCCAGAGAAAAACCCAGAGGGAAGAGCTCAACTGTGGAAAAATTAGATGTAACCCAAGGAGTCTTCGTAATCACGAAGCAGCAACCACTGGCTTGTTTCTATTATCTTACACTATTTGCTACATCATATATGTTCATATACATATACATCTCTCTCTCTATATATATATATGTGTGTGTGTGTGTGTGTGTGTGTGTGTGTAAAGTGTGTGTGTGTATGTGTGCACGCGTGCGTGCCAGGGCTTGAACTCTTAGCCTTCAGATCTTGCTTGGCTTCTTTGTCCAAGCTGACATTCTATCACTTGAGCTGCAGCTACACTTCTGGCTTTTTCATGGTTAAGTGGGGATAAGAGTCTCAATGGACTTTTCTATCCTGATTTCAAATCCAAATTCTAAGACTTCAGTTTCCTAAGTAGCCAGAATTATAGGTATGAGCCATAGCTATTTGACTTTTGAAGTTCAATAAGATAAAATCTAGGTCTATTTTCCAGTGGGTCCCACCACACCATTTTCTCCCCTCTCCCCTTCCTCATTTTCCCATTCCAAATGGGCCATACATGGCTGCATTTGCTCACCTAGTTGCTGGTTCTTGAAGTCAGGTATTATAGGTTCTATCTATCCCTGCATGCATGCTGCTTGCCCATGTGCTGGGCACAGTCTTCCCTCACTAATCAATCTGAACAATGATGTCACCCTACAAAGCCACATTTCTCCCACATTCCCTTTACATGTGCTACCTGTCAGATTTGAGCCGGCGGCTCAGTCCTACCTACTCAGGAGGCTGCGATCTGAAGTTCAAGGTTCAAACCAGTCTGGGCAGAAAAATCTATAAGATTCTTATCTCCAATTAAACAGAAAAATGCTGGGAGTGGAGCTGTGGCTCAGTGGTAGAGCACCAGCTTTGAGTGAAACAGCTAAGGACAGTACTAAGGCTCAAAGTTCAGGCTCCAGTTCCAGCACAAAAACAAACAACAACAACAAAACTAAAACTAAAACCTATCATCGAAACCAAAAAGAATCCCTGTCAGATTTGTACAGAAGCTACAAAGAACACCCCAGTAGACACAGGGATTCTAGAAACTGCTCCCTTCTCCATAGACAATGGATTAAATATTCTATATGAGAAGAAGATAGAGGAGGAGGAGCAGGAGGAGGAGCATATCACGCTCCAAGTGAAAGGCAGTTTCTACTTGAATCACAATATCATCTGTGTGGACTCTAATGTGTGTCTAAATATGTTCTATCACCAAAACAAAAAAATAATAAACCCATGATTTTATACAATGTAAAACATTATACATAACATACAATTGGGTAATTCTAGCTACTCAGGAAGCTGAGGATCACAATTTCCAGCCAGCCCAGGCAGGAAAGTCCATGAAACTCATCTCTAAAAAGCCCAAAATACCAACACACACACACACACACACACATACAGAGTACGAGATTCCTGTAAAACACTAATCAAAGGAAGCCTTGAGTTTGGTACTGATAGGGGTCCTTCTGCTCATAGTTCACAGGTCCATCACTTGGACCTGAATACTAATCTGGAAAATGCTCCTCACTCATATTTTACCTCAGCTGTAGCAGCAATCTCTTAGCTCCCACCACCGTATCTCCCTATCTCAATGGTCAGAAAATGTGATTATTGTTTCCATAGAAACTACAGTTTCACCATATAACATTACAAAGCCACTGTACGTAGTTTAAAGACAACACACACACACAAGCACACACATACATTCATAACACAGGTACACATAAAGTTATAAAGTGACTTTTATCAACCCTGAAAGTTTTAAAATAGCTTTCAAAGCAAGTGATCTTTGGGTTTGGGCATCAGTGGCTGAATGTTAGTGACCAAGCTGGATGGGGTCCCATCTGTCCATTAACAGAAGGCAAATTGTATCACCATAGGTTGCTGGAGAAGCAGAAAGCCAAGAAAACACAGAGGAGCAGGAGTTGAGGACTATCCTGTAGTCGTGACACAGTTAATTTTACTGCACTGAAAAATCTGCCTGCTTTGGGAAGGTTTCATAAAGAACAACTGGAGGCTTGGGATTTACTTTATCGAAAATAAATGAAAACTTTCCCCTCTAAGTCCCTGCTTTGCATTTTAGTTTCTATCCTCGTATTAAAATGGATGAAATGGCCTTTAGTTTTGAAGAGACACATCAGCCAAGAGAAGAGGTACAGGTCTCTGGAGAAAGCTGCAGTTTGAAATAAGCATAGTAAAAGTTAACATGTTCAAAAAAATTTAATTACTTATTGTGCTACGAAAGAGAAAGACCATTTGCTCATCTTCACACCTAAGCAGGACAATCAACACCAGTTAAATAAATTCCAATGGCAAGCGTCCAGTGAGAATAAGAAGTGCTTTGTGGTGTGATAGGAACTCACACTGTTCTGGGGAATTAGCACATGAGGACTTTTTGAGTAAAAAGATTCTGAAGCAAAGAGAAAGAGTTTTGGTTCGTATACGTAAAAGTCTAATCATACATTTTCTCCAGGCACAGTTGAATCAGGAGTAAATGATATTCCTCATCAGGAATGTATCATTTCCTCCTGTTCTTTTGTCTTCTGTGTGGGCCTCAGTCCCTAAGCAAATAGCTGCAGGAAGCCTAGGAATGGGGCTTCCTCACAGGGGCCCCATGAGATTGGACAGAGTCTGCTAGACACAGACAGAGATGGAGGAGAGTCCATTTCTGCTAGTGATGCTGCTAACCTAAGCCCTCTAGCACCCTCCTTTGCCCCCATCCTCATCAGCCTGCATTCCTGCTGTAATTAGAATTATGTCAAATCAATCTGAAGAGAACTTCCACCCTGATATGTGATCACCCTTGACATTGGACCAGATTCTTCATCCTTCTCTCTTAGTATCTGATTTACACTAGCCTGCATTCTGCAAGAATCTTGTTGAGTCTGCTTATCCTGTACCGCTCATTGATTGCTATGTTTTCTTCACTGATCTCTGTTCTGTTCTTTGGCTACAAATCTTCATTGGTCCAGGTCCACAACTGAGCCCGGTCTCTGCAGAAATCTGTGTTTCAATGGTCCCTGGACGAACTTTGTTCTATCCATTTAACCATCTAGCTCTGATTCTCTTCAATATTATGTAAGCAGACACTCAGCTTCTTGATCTACCTTCCTCCCCTTCTCTTCTTCCCTCCCCCCCACCCCATCCAAGAACTGGGACTTAAAATTCAAAGCCTCCTGTTTTGTTTTTGGTTTTGGTTTTGTTTTTCCCCTCAAGACTGGCACTATAGCACTTGAGCCACACCTACACTTCTCTTTCTTCTTAAGGCAACATTTTAAAAGTCCTTAATTCCTAGGAACTTAAGTACAATAATACTGTCTCCATGACTTCAATAAAATTAACATTTCAATAACATTACAACATAATTCAAGAACCTAATTCATGGGGCTGGGAAGGTAGCTCAGTGGTAAAGCGCTTGCCTTGCATGCCTGAGGCCCTGGGTTCGATTCCTCAGCACCACATAAGCAAAAAGAAAAAAGCCGAAAGTGGCTCTGTGGCTCAAGTGGTAAAGCACTAGCCTTGAGCTGAAGGGCTGAGGGACAGAGCCCAGGCCCAAAGTTCAGGTCCCACCACCAGACCCAAAAAAAAAAAAAAGAACCTAATTCAGTCTCCTATCTGAACCTTTTATGGCCAAACCTTAGCAGGAAGTTAAGTATCAAGCATGTGTGAGGAATGTAACATGTAGGAGCCCGGCTCCTTTGTCTGATGCTGGCAGAAAACAGGTTTTTACAATCAAGAGAAGTTATCTAATAACAGTACGGGACCTGAGCACAGTACCACCATTTTCACTTTCTCTCTCTATTCATAATATAACCTAGCACATAAGCATCATCGTAACAATGGTGGGTAATTTTTATTGAACTCATACTATTGGGCAGGCATTGTATATGTTATGAGCTCACAATAATCCAGTGAGCAAAGTTCTATTGCTTTTGCCAAGTCTGTTGTACATGTTTTTCAACAGAGCAAGGTTCAGTTAATTATCCAAGGTCATTTTACTAGGCATTGGGGCTGACTTTCAAGCCAAGCCTGCTTGAACTTTTATACACCACAGTGTACTATTCTACAATGTTTCCATATGCATGTAAAAACATACTGGGAACTCCGGTAATATTTAAAGATACCACTAAAAGTTAGTTGCCTATTCTTGTCCACATTAACCAAGTCACTCTGTGTGTGTGTTTGTGTGTGTGTGTGTGTGTGTGTGTATTAAGGCTTGACCTCAGGGCCTGGACACTGTCCCTCAGCTTTTTTGTCTCCAAGCTAGTGCTCTACCAGTTGAGCCATAGATCTACTTCTGGCTTTTTGGTGGTTAATTGGAGATTAAGGTCTCACAGACTTCTTTCCTATTGGAGCCGGCTTCAAGTCTTGATTCTTAGATCTCAGTCTCCTGAATGCAGAGGATTATAAGTGTGACAGCC